GTGTCTGTGTAGAGGCAGAAGGAAGGATGTGCTGTTTGAGGTAGTATACCATTCGGAGTCAGGGACAGGTTCTCATCTAGAGTGTGAAGAGTGACGTCAAGCCCACTTCCTCTTGTTCCTCTCTTTGTTGCTTATTTCGGTCTCCCTTCGCTCTCTCTTTCCTGTCTCCCTCTCCTCCCTCTCCTCCTCCCCGCAGGCGAAGATGGGTTTCCGGGAGGGCGAGGGCCTGGGGAAGTTCGGCCAGGGCCGGCGGGAGATCGTGGAAGCCTCCACGCAGCGCGGGCGGAGAGGGCTGGGCCTGACCCTGCAGGGCTTCCAGGGCGAGCTGAACGTGGAGTGGCGGGACGAGCCCGAGGTAGGGCCGCTAACCGCGCCTGATCGGAGCGGTCGCTGTCCAGAAACACGAGCGCATCCACTAGGCCGAGTGAGGTCCCGAGCACCGCGGTACGTTTCTGATGCCCTGCGCCAAACACAGGTGCACTTTATCAGCCCCATACAATTTCTTGCATTAGGAATTTGTCTTTTCACATACCCCAGCTTGCTCTCCAGGAGACACACAGGCACACAGACGGGGAGAGAGAAGCTTGGGGTCCGCCATTTATACAGCGCCCCTGGAGCAGCTGGGGTTAAGGGCCTTGCTCAGGGGCCCAACAGAGTAGGATTCCTCTGCCGGCCGCGGGATACGAACCTGCAACCTCCCAGCCACAGGCGCAGATCCTTAGCCACAGAGCCACCGCTCCGCCCTAAAATCACGTGACGGAAATCATGTCAGACCTGAGGGGGGACTCTGACTCCTCCGTCTCGCAGACGACTGGAGGGACAAATCCTTCAGCCGTTCACGTGTTCACAAATATATTTTCACAGTATTCTTAATCCTTAGCAATGACGTTTGTTTTGTTTTTCATACAGCTTTAGTTTTTCTTGCGGATTTTTAAAGCTGTCTTTCATGATTGTATGTGTTCTGGACAGTTGAAAAAGGTGATACTGCAAAAACCGACCTGGTTCTCTGACTGCGCCCGCCCTCTCCACCCTGTCCTGCCCTGCCTCGTACCCTCACCGCACCTCTCCCCTTCCTCCCTCTCCCCAGGCCAGCGCGGCGGAGGAGGTGCAGTGGTTCCCCGAGTGCTCCACCGAGATCCCAGACGCGGAGGAGCTGGGAGAGTGGATGACTGTGGGAGAGGTACAGGCGCACTGTCACCCCCAGTTAAACGGCTTGTAGTGGCAGGACTGGCGAGGGGGCAGTGCCAGGTATACAGTGGAGGAATGCGCTGCACTGAGGCACACCGCTGTGGTAGTACTGCTTCCGGCACAGTTCATTACTTTAGCTTACTAGTATTAGCTTACTGTGGGCAGCCTGCTGAAGAGGGTTTACGTCGCTTAAATATGACATGGAGACCTGCAGCAAGAAAGTAGGGGCTTTGTTTGAAAACTGCTCATTTGAGTATAAAAAAAGAGACATCTACCTAAAGTAGAAACTGCTCATTTGAGTATAAAAAAGAGACATCTACCTAAAGTAAATGATTGGTGTCTAGCGAGACACATGACGAAAAGAGCAAACGTGATTGGCTCGGAGTGTAACTGGCTACTCCCTGGTTTAGTAATCTGGTGTGTATTAGCGGCCAGGAGGTCTCCAGCCGCTGCAGGTCTGTTAGGGTTAATGTACCCGCAGAAGGGAAACCCAGAGATGAAGAACCTGTAACATGCAAGGAGCCAAAAGTGCTGCAGTAATATATGTGAGTGTGTGTGGCCAACATGCCGTGAGTCAATTCACAACACACTAGACAGGTAAACAACAGTGCTGATAGTCAGAGATGAGGAATTCCACAGGAAATAGGAAGACAGACCAGCTTTGTCTCTGGTGCCAGGAAATACGTCTTCACACAGCGTTATTAATACACCGTATAAGCTGTTAAGCTCAAAGAATACAGCCAGTTGCTGCCAGATGAAAATGAGACGCGGAAATCCACATTTCATCCACAACTTTTTAAACTTCCGATCATTTTCCAGTACAGTCTCGACGTGAGAAAAGAAACTGGACTCTTTAGTGTATTGCAGTTTACTTCCAGAAAGCAGAACATACCTTGGTAGGTACCGAAAGGTTATGAGGTATATCCCAGAAGGGTACCGATGCCCCTTGAGGAAAGGAATGTCCTGTTTTCATTCTAAACTCCCATTTCTGCAGAAGTGCTCAGGGCCTGGTCACGTATCCGCTGCTTTGTGAGGACTCACCTTTCTGTTTTTGAACTTTCAGAGAAAGCTGAAGATTGATGATGAAACCGAGTTCTGCAGCGAGGAGCTCTTACACAGCCTTCTGCAGTGCAAGGTTGGGGTGTTTGCATGTCTGAATCCTCCCCACAGAAGACTGCCGTCGAGTTTTCTTTTCCCTGGGGGACAAAATCCTGCAGCTGTTTCTTTGTAATGCAAACTCTTTTAGTTACTGAACAGTCTAGCAAAAAGAAACATATGGTACAGACTAAATTTGTTAAAAAAGGTCATATATGCTGATGTGTAATTCATTTAGGATGCTTTTATGAATATGCTCATTTGATTTTGAGGTATTTTAATTTTAAAATACCTCATTCATGTTTTCATATTTCATATTCATGTTTTCATTTATAAATATCACTGGGTATTCTGTGTGTATTGGAAGTGACGCTTCTTTGCATAAAACCTGTGAAAAACGCAGACTTGCTCGGTTACCGGAGCAGCAGAACTTTATCATGAGAATTATTTTTGAAAGTGAAACCCTTTGCTCGAGACATAGCAATGCTACCACCCAAGCTGTCTTAAGATGTGAAAGCGAAGCGACAGACAATCTGAAATCCATCTTGAGCTGCACCAGATCAGCAGTTTTGAGTGAAGGCTTCTGGAAGTGTCCCCCTTCCGTATTGCTGCCTGTCTGAGGTTTGCCCTGTGTGTGTGTGCCTGACACCAGGCCCCTGACTGAGCAGTGTGTCCGCCAGGTGTGTGCTCACTCCGCTGTCTGTCCACAGTGTGTAACAGCCTCTCTCTGTGTGCAGAGTGTGTTTGATGACCTGGAGGGGGAGGAGATGCGCCGTGCTCGGACTCGATCGAACCCCTACGAAACCATCAGAGGGGCCTTCTTTCTCAACAGGTATTTCAGTGCTGCTTGTCAGTAGCACAGTTGAGGATGGGCTCTGGCACAACTGGGTTACCCTCGCTCGGCGATGAGCTCTGAGACACGGGCTCGGTTAGCCTCGTTCGGCGACGAGCTCCTGGATCCGGGCACAGTTAGCCTCGCTCGGCGACGAGCACTGTGCCTCGGTTACCCTCGCTCTGTGAACATTGGATTTTGATAGCACTCACTAGTTGATGTGAATTCTGTGACTTGGTTACCCCCACTTGGTGATGAGCTCTGGGACACAGACTCAGTTAGATTCACTCAGTGACATGATATAGACTGTTTCCTTGTATAGACTGTTTCCTGTGTCTCTAACTATGTATCCTCTTCTCAGAGCTGCGATGAAGATGGCCAACATCGACCATGTCTTCGACTGTATGTTCACTAACCCCCGTGACACCCAGGGGGTATGACCTGCCTTCTGGAGCCTCAGGCTGCTTGTCTTTATCTGTTTGTGTCTGAGTTTTCTCTCTGAGCCCCTCGCCAGTCTGTCCCTGTGATATCTCTACCTCTAACTCTTCACCAGTCTGTCCCTGTGATCTCTCTCCCTCTCTGACCCCTTCACCTGTCTGTCCCTGTGGTCTCTCTCACTCTCTGACCCCCTCGCCAGTCTGTCCCTGTGGTCTCTCTC